TTCAATTTTGTTGAGATATATATATATGACAACTAATTCCTTAGATACATGACCCAGTCACACTACATAGTTAAAACCCGTCGAGCTGATAACATGCATGTAAACATAATCAGAATGACAAAGCGTTTTGAGAATTTGCCAAGACTGTGTCCGTCCGTCCGGACAGTGGCAGGGTCAAAGAGCGACCTCTGCTTGAATTGGCGTCAGTCGACGCCGTCTCAAGCTGTACGTCATTAGTTCCATCGATTAGAACCGATCCACTACAGGGACATGGTGAGTGCCGCACAGTGGGTCCAAAAATAAATCAGAGCAACGGCAAACAGAAACTTATCTACAAGTGTCGAAATGCGCTGATAAGCGAGCCAGAGAGCGCGGAGCGTGATGCCAGTTGAAATAATTAAAATGTAAGTGCGGACCGCCGGCTACTATATCATTCATAGTATAGAATGCCACAGCTGGGTTATGCAAACGAAATGGAAACCTTTAAAGACTCTGGCAAATATCGCAGGTAGCTCATAAATGCTCGGCTACAGCTGTGGAACAAATGCGAATCCTTGTGCTCGGGTGCTCTAGACCTTAAGGTGCAACAAATCTCCATCAACTGTCGAAAGCTAATGGATAATTTACAGTTGCATGTGAAAACAAGGCAAGACGATCGAAAGAGTCGAGGGACTGCCCAACTCGGAGGTTCTCTGTAACCAAATCTGAGCTACGAAAGAAGAAACTATGAGCCAAATTTGCTGTCTCCAGCTCTTAGATTCAAATAGATAGCTCAATAAAGCGAAACCAAACATCGATATTTATCGATTTTAGTCAAAGTGCAAAGTTATCGATAATATTAAATAGACTCAATCGAAACAATATATTGGGCAGTTATTGATCATTTGTAATAGACTCGGTATATTTAGCGATTTAGATGAAAGAAATGCAGAGTTATCGGAAATTTCAAATACTCAGTATATTTATCGATTTGGGGGAGTGGCGAGTTTTTTTGGCCGATAACTTAACATAAACTTCAGCTGAGTGTACTTCAGCTCATAAAGTCTTATCAATCAATATCAATTTGGGATAAACAGCGAAGATATCGATAGCTGAAATACAACAGGAGCCGACCACGTGGATATTTATCGATTATTTGCAATAAACTTTAACTGCAAAATTTATACAGGAACTTATAATTGGAGAGTCTGCTTTTATTGGCTCTGAGCTCAGGATATAACTCTAGATATTAAATAGGTGTGTATTACTGTAACATACCTCCTTTGTTACCACTATCAATGGGTACAGGCTTTGACAAGAGCATCTTATCAGCAGCTCAGCTCAGTTGCTCATCTGACAAAACGAAACGAGCCTCAACGAGAAATAGCTGCGGCATTTGTTTAATAGAGCTTTGATTAGGTTTTTATTGTCATATATAATTGAATTAAAATTGATGTTACTAATTTGCTGTCACACTTTGATTGTCGCACCGGCTAAAACAAGACTCGACACAGTAGAGCTGGAGACAATGTGAAAACGATTTCTGGTATTTTCCAGTTGCAATCATTTTCCCATTATCGCAGTTCCCAGCTTGTCTTGTCTATTACCAGACAAACAACAACAACAGCATATCACTATTTTTATAGACATTTGACCAGCCCCCTATTCATTTGTATGTTAGGATTTTACAAATTTAATTTGAACGATTCAGAATTACAAATATAATAAGTTTATTATCGAAATTTTCCATACGTGCTATGAATTCAAATGAAGTATTCTTCAGAAATATTTTCTTCCATTTCTTTCTCAGCATTTACATAATATTTTTTACTTTTTGTTTGGTAAAAGCTCGCTTGACACAACATCTATTACTCCAGCTAAGAAAGATGTCTATTGACAAGGAAAAAGATTGGAATGAAAACATTGGCCGGCTAAGATGCATGCTCGACCAGGGAAAATAGACGTAAGTAAAGCTTTTCAATTCTTTTCTTTAGAACAATATTAATACAAGATTTTATACCCTTACATCGCAGAAGACATCTCCGAGCTTATAAAGTACATATATTCTATTCTGCAGACAGTATCAAATAGCTGACATCGAAACGGTCGATCGAAAAGTAGGAAAACATTTTTGTTTATAAAGATGCAAATGTCGACAAGGGTATTAAATCTTCGGAATACTGAATATATCCTTACTTTCTTGTTATCTGTGCGATAGCAGATTGGAGACAAATCAATTTATTTACTTATTATTCCAATTCGTGTATATAAATATTGATACTAAGCTTAAAATATATTAAGTGCCGCTTGTGCCATAAACAAGAAGTGAGTAACTCGAAAGCTGTTGCCAATTTAGTAAGTGCCATATCTTTATGTCGTATATACATACATATAATCGTACATACATACATGTTATGGTAATTCACATGCACTATCTATATGTTGGCTAACGAAAATCTTGTTATATCATTACTATTCTTTGAGCTCTCGGATTATAACTTTATTGTCACCTTGACCGAACTGCTTACGAGTTCTATGCAGAACTCGGTAGAGAACTGCATAAACCATCATCAAAATTATTAGATTGTATTTGTATTTGTCTTGATTTTGTGGCTGTGCTTCTCTCTAAATTGACTCAAATTGAAAGCGCATGACTCAGCATACGAAATAGTATGAGGGGCGCAGGGGCTCTTTGAGGGCCGATTTATGCCGTGCCATGCACATATCTACATAATACTCCTCTTTGCAAAGCAAATGCTGTGCGTGAAAATCATAAATTACAGTAGACACTCGCTAATTGGAACAAATTGTTCGAACAATTTACATTTTTTGCAACGCTTTTATTTAGTTTATTTAAGGCGCGTGAAAGTATGCAATGCCTAGGGATTTGCAAAGCATACGCTTTTCCGGACACGGACAATGTTAAATCAGACTAGTCAGAGATTATTATCTACATATCTATGTCTGCATTAGTAGATATATTTTTTTCCCTTACTGACTGAGTGACCGAGGAATTAATTAATTGGTAAGCTCAGTTTTTTCCAGTAGTTATCTTTTATAAGGAAACACGAAGTTTTGGAACGTTTCCTTCCGCAGGTGCGAAGAATTGTGCCTGGAACATTTCTTATTTGATCGTGCTCCAACTCTTTTTCAACGAGCTTTATAAAAATGCATGGTTGACTTCGGATAATTCTAATCCGTGGAAAATGTGTATGCTTCAAAGAACATATTCAAATCTCTTAATTATAATATATTTAGGGAAATGTGTAAAAAATTAATTTTAAATATAGTACAAATTAATGCGCCAGGCAAAGCCGGGTAATACTTGCTCAATTTCTGCACATCCCAAGAAGCTTAGCTGAAGTTGACACAAGAACTTGGGCTAACGTAAATCCTTAAATCAATATAAAGTACATATGAATAAAATTACGAGTCCCAAAATAAAAAGAAGACTTTGACGTACATCTTAATTACTTAGGAAGCGATTAATGAACACAATATAAATATATACGTGTAATAGAAAAGAGAAAACTTTCGAGAGAAGCAAATTAACTTGTGAGCTGTAATTAAGTCACTTTTTAATAGTTATCAAAGAGTTGGGCAGCGAGGGGCGAGGGGCAAAGGAAAAGTCGTGGAAAAAGCGTTACAAAAGACAAGTAAGAGCAAAATACATTTGCTTATAATTAGCAGGGCACGACGCGCCCCAATGACACCAATTCCGGAAAAAATGATAAAAAGAAGAAGAAGAAGAAAAATGAAGAGAACCTCTTTGAGGGTGGTTTCGATTAGGTGTCTCTTTTGCCTGGCTGCCATGAGATTCCAATGGTAAAACGCGAATCCAAGATATCTATGGTTAGGCGGGGCGGAGCGAGGGCCTTCGGCATGCGTAAGGTGGGGAGGCGTGGCAATATATCTCGATTGCATGCCAACAGAGGACAGAGAACAGCCCGCAGCACTGGAAACGTACCGGTTATGTAAGCCATAGAGCGAAAAAAATTCCAGTCCATAAAACAGAAAGCTTTTATTTCCAGGCGAAATTATGCACGAAATATGCCAGAGCACCAGAGCAAGCGCACAAGTGCGGTCCGACTGGAAGCAGCTGAGCTTTGCGCATGAACTGATAACAGAGCCAGTTACAACAACAACACGAACATAAAAGTGTGCGAGCTAAACGTAAGCGAAAGTGGCGGCCAGGTGAATGCGGCGAGTGAGCTGCACATTAAGCGATTCGAGCTAAGCCGATCGAACACGAGGCCTAATCCGACTACCAGCAAGCACCACACCTGAGCAGCCTGAGCGAGAACAGTGGAAGAGAGTGCACCACAAAGAGAGCGAGCGAGCGAGCAAGCGAGAGCGTGCACAGTCGCCTTACGACGAAAACTCAGTTTGAAGCATTAGAAATGAAAATAAAAAGAAAACCAGCTAGCTGCGGAGCTGCACTGGGTTAACTTCATTTTATTGATCATTTTTGCGGTGCGCCCGCAGCGCTGCCAACTGCGCAGCCAGCACCAGCACCAGCACCAGCAAAAGCAACAACAACCACAACAGCACAAGGTAAGCCTGGCAGCTAAGTCATCCAATAGGACTAGAGGCCAGTGTTAAGAACAAACCTCGTCCGCACCCAGTTACAGTTAACTGACGCACCAGCAACAAATTAATAAGCTTGGCGTCGCCTAAGGGCGTCGGCTTGCAGCGTACACTAACAACAAAACCAATAACACACACACACACGCACGCACACACATTCACTCAAGAGTTTCGATTTTTCCATTAAAAAAAAAACGCCCGCTCAGCACTGTTGTTGTTGTTGTTGTATCGTAAAACACACACCTCGAAAACTTCTAACTTAATTTTTGCCACATTTCAATCGGGTTTCTGCACATATTTGAGTACACACTGTTCGTATAGCATGTTAACAATTGTTTGCACTTTTATTTGGACTTAATTAACTTAGTTTTATTACAAATTTTGGATTATTTTTTGCGCTCAGCTCACCTCGTAATCCGACCTTAACGCCATGTTTTATCGATATGACATTTCTTATCGATTAGTGAATGTTAGGCGCAGCCGTTCAGTGTTGTAAAGCTGTTAAGTGCGCTGTTTGCCGGAGGCAATTTGCGTTAACAGGATTTCTTAACATATATTTTGTTTTCTGTATTAGATAATATACTAGATAAGCATGTACAAAAAAAATATAAATTTAGATTTGTTGTTTATTATAAGTATGCCAATTTTTCTTGTATTTTAAAATGCATTTAAGTGATATATAAGCCTATAGCATATTTGTAGGCTGTATATTTTATGTTACTTAGCAGTTAAGTACACAAATATAAACGTTGCCAGACTAACAACAGCACACACTGAATACGCACTGTTAACCTACATCAGATTCAAAGGAAGTTTAACAGAAAGCCGTTAAATAATTTAAATATGAACAAATTTCAGTTTAAATCGAAACTGCGCTTGGTTTAATTGTATTTCAATAACTATGACACAACTCCAGCGAATATTCATAGCCCAAAAAGGTGGCCGCATTAAAGGGTATCGCACGCGCCAACAGCATCCAACTGCCACGAAAAATGCTGCGCCAGCCATAGGCCCTATAGTTGACCAGTACACAATGCATTATGCCGCGAAATTTATGATTCTCATCCGCCTGCATTATGGTCTTGACCACATCAAAGGGTATTACACACACCCAAGATAACACGCCAGCCCAGGCGCCCGCAAAGGTCGTAATAATTAAGTTCATATTTGTGGCATTCGAATCGGTGCGACGCTTGCGCACAAACTCCGAGTTCTCCATATAGTTGGCCGCCTGCCGATAGACCAGCATATAGATGCCATAGGGCAGCACATCACTGTGGTAAACAACAAAAAACAAAAACAATAAACTGGAGTAGGGGTGGACTGTTAGGATATTACACTGACCGACACATCATGGGCACAAGTCCACGATATAAGCCCGAGATGCCATCTTTCTTAAGTATCCGCTTGAAGGTGCCATAGGCTGTGCGTCTCTGACCATAGATATAGTCGTTGTAGTCTGCAAAAAAACAGGCGCAAAGATACAGTGAAAGCTCGATTGAGTGCACATTCACAGTTTCCAGCAGATGTCCGCTTAAGTCTTAGCGAGTATTCCGCCCGAAGTTTTCGCTCAGTGTATCTCAGTTATACCCCTGCTGAAGCGTCTAAAATGTTGGATATATACATACATATATTCTTGATCAGTATCCAGAGCCAAATGTCTTGTGTATACTTTGTGGACAACTGTCTTTCTGTTATATATATGACATACCTCCATAGGAAGAATCGGACAAAAAGTGAGTTTTTCTGTTTTTCCATATATCTTGAACAAGCTGGACAATTGCGAGCTTTTCCACTTATCCCCACGCCTAGCTGCAGGCCCGTAAAACATCCCACGCCCAAGGACACTTTCGTATTTCCGATATCCCGGTGCAACGACTTTTCCAACTTACAGCAATGCGTCTGCAGCCGCACCTTAATCAGCTCCATGGGGCACGCAATGAAGGACTGGACAAACCCGGCCACAGATCCAGCCAAGAACATGTTCTTGTACTCGAGCTGCTCGCGCTGATAGTCGCTGTGGCAGACGCGGCGCAGCTGCCGCAAATGGTTGCCATAGATGCCGAACAGGATCGAGTTGATGGCGCCCGTCGACATCAGGGGGAAGAGCATGCCCCTGTAGTAGCCGTTGATCTTTAAAGCGTTGTCAACTGCCCAACCGCCCCCGCTCACTTACCCCATTGTTGCGGCTGTAGATTTGCTGCACGGCCGACAGGACGGATGAGTTGGATGCCTGTTGCCAGGTCTTGATGGTGTCGAGCGGATGCGCCACCAGCACGCCGCAAGCACCTGTTTAACCGCAATCAAAATAAGCAAACAGGAATGTTAATTAAAAACTTATAAGAGTGCACTAGTCAGGCGGGCACGACTACCAAATACCCTGTACACAAACTTAACTTAACATGCGGCTTGTCTGTGCCTCTTGATAAATTCGATGTTTATTGTCCGATCTACATGAAAATTCGTGAACATAAATAGTGCAAGGAAATGTGGGCAAATGTGGAAAATGGGCGGAATGTTTCGGAAAATCAAAAGATTTTCAATCTGTGTACATCTTACAAGAAGCCTCTGAGATATGCTCAAAAAACGGAATATCGATTCGGGTCGATTTCATGGAAATGTTAGAAATTATCGAGGATTTGAGACGGCTAAAGTCGGACAGACCCAGTTTTATGTAATCAGAGATTTTTGTCTCGGGCATACATATATGCCAACCCTTACACGTTTTCAATGGGCTCGGGGTATAAAAACTTGTAGAAATTTAAGGCGAACTAGACGGCCCCATGGGGTTGCCAAGAATTTCGAATCGCATGCCCAAAAATACGCCACGGATCAGGGGCGCCTGCACATGAACTTGACCGTGACGTCGTCGAAGCTAGTACAGTAAACGCTCGCTTAAGCGAACAGCCAAAATTTCAGTGAGATTTCGTAGGAATGACCAAATATCTGGGAAAACAATCTGCTACAACTCAGTTCAAAACAAATACAACTTTTACGAATTTGAGCACATTTGTTTGTTGATTAATTATTTAAATTAGATATTCGAAAGTTTTATAAATATTGGTTTTAAACCTTTTTTGCAGCTTTATTTTAAGTTGCAATTTTTTTTTAATTTTAGTTTTATCTGTGGAAATTTCAAGATTTCAGATTGTCCTTTAGTTGAGCTTTCACTGTAGCTGCCGTTCTCGTCAATCCGTCAACAAGTGTCTCCGCTTTAGCTGCCGCATTGCGTCATTTACGCCGTACTCAAATGCAAAAGAATCGTAGAAACTAACCACCAAAACAGCCTGCGACGAAATCACAATAGTTCTCCCACTTCATGGCCTCTATGTTTTCTTATAATAAATGCACTTTTGCCTTTAATTATAAATTTTCTAATTATGCACTATTGATTTTTTTGTTGTTGCGTTTAGCGACTGCATTTGGCAGCGGAGACGTTGAGACTGACGTCCAATTGGAGCGCTGCTGTGCTGCACTGGCAAAAACTGAAAGCTCATGTCAGCGAGCTTTGCTGCTGTCAAAAGCTGGCTGTTATTATTGATCTGTTTGCCATTGTATTGGATAAATTTTTTGTTGCTTCAATTGAACTGCTTGCTTTGTAGGCTCTTCTACTCATTGCATTTGACAGTGGCTGCTATTTAACTGCAGTTTAATTAGTGCGCTGTTATGTTGCTGCTGTCAAGAGCCAACTGTTATTGGTTGTTGCTTCAATTGAATTGCTTGCTTTATATGATGCATGCTAATCATCGCACTTGCCAGTGTTTGCTATAAATTGGATCTGTTGCTGCTGACAAGAGCTGCCTGTTACTATACAGTCTACATTACACATTTTGTATTCGATCTATTCGCAGCTCATTCTCTTTTTGCTTAAATGTGCACTGCTTGCTACTGCTTAAGTTACTTGCTTTGTTTGTATCGCCTGCATTTGCTATAAGCCTGTCTACCTATTGCAGCGAGATTTGCAGCTGCCAACAGCTGAGTGCTATAATTAAATAGCCTATACAAGCGCATATACCATTTCCATTGAGTAGAGAAACACATTTATTACTCAATGGGCCATTTCCGTAACAAATATGCACGTTGTTTTTATAATTGTATTTGTCTCTCTGTTTCTCTTGTACGCATTTCCTGTTGCCTGAGTTTCAACTGCTTGCTCAACTGCTTTCTCGACTGCTTGATATGCAACACACGAAACAATTTCATTTTTTATATATATTCATTTTCATTTATTTTTTATAATTTGTTTTTTGTTGTTGTTGTTGTTTTTCGCTTGTTTTTTGTTGTTGTTGTTTGTTTTTAGTGTAATTATAATGTATTTATTTTTATACTCAGCATAAGATTTTGTTTAGTTGTTATGTCTAAAACATAGCGCTCGTGTGCCAAAGAAAAAGAACACAAGAACTTCGGAAAACCTAGCACAACGAACCAAAACTCAAAGATAAAGTTTCGCTCTAGTCGCACACACGATATCATACGTTAGGTTCATTATTATTTTTGTTTTGTTTTTACAAGTCTAGAACATAAGAAAATATTTCACACTTTATAATTATGCAATATGTTTTAATATTGTTAAAGCGCCTTATATTGTTGTTTTTTTTTTTTTTAATTTTTTTTTATATATTTGATGTTTTTTGTTATTAATGCGACTTTATTTTTTTTAATATTTTTTTTTAGTACAGTTTTGTCTCTAAAAGTACTTAACGAGTTTTGCTTATACTTTTAGCTGGCTTTTAAGCAGCTATTTTTCAACATGCTCCTTTTGTTTTTATTTATACATATAAATACATAAAACTATAGTTAAAGTTACAAATGTAAATTGAAAAGCAGGCTAAACATTAACTCAAAGTGCAACAAAAAATATAAACATCACAAACACAAAAAAAAAAACTTAAAACAGGACCTCATCTATATATATATATATATACAGACGTAGTCCCGTTTTGTCAGGCGTTTTTAACATTTTCGCTTTTTGTTTTTTACAGTTTCTATATTTAAGTTATTTTCTTTCACTTGATTGGCATTTCTATGTGAATTTTAACATTAACTAGAAAGGGCGCAAGTTGAGTGTAATTTCTAATGTATTTCTCTTTACTCTAGTGTGGGCCGCTGAGGGGAGGGGGGGGACTGATATCTTTTAATAGAACAATTTTTGTTTTTATTATTTTTCTATGTTTTCCATCATATTTATTGCTTCGAATGTGGAGCCCCGAAATGCGCTCATATCAAATACTCTGCCACCGAATCAACTTGTTCTCTTTTCTCGAAAAACAAAATAAAAAAACATGCCAATTATCATGTTTGAGAGAGTCTATTGCTTTTGAAATGTATTATTTGTTTGCCTTTTGTTGTTCCATATATTGTTCAGATTCAATTTGTTTGTGTCAATTATTCACTTTAATTACACTCTAATATAAAGATGCAAAACTTTCATACACACTTTGCTTAGAATTTAGGCCATAGATTCTGCTTCTCATATATATGTCGCAAATATATATATATATTCTTTAAGTTTTCTTTTATTCGTTTTACTAGATGACATTTTAGTTTAGGTTGGCGTGATGATTAACACGTTTTTATTTTGCTTACTCTTCTGCTTCTTTTACTTTTACTCTTTTGTTTTTGTTTTTTTTTGCATATTTTTGACGTTTACAAACATATTTAATAATAACTCATGTTTTTTTTAACGCTGCATTTTTTTGTTTTTTCTTTTTGTTTTTGTTTACCTCGTTCATATGTATGCATATAATAACTTACGTTTCACAGACACAATTTTATATATAATTTATGTATATATATATGTTTGTATGTAGGTATGTATCGTATCTTTAATTTATTTATTTGCTTTTTGTTTATTAACTTTTGGATTATGCATGCTTAGATACTTTTGTAATGGGCGTGAGTTGAATGAACAAACATACATACATATGTCGCATACATATATATTTTTATTAAATATATATTTTTTTTTGTTTTTTTTATTTAATTTAATATTCCGTTGATTATGATATTTTGTTAGTATGAGAGTGCGCCTAAGTGTGTGTGTGTATGTGTGTGTGTTTGCATCGATTTTGCTTGGATAGATGAGTTGTTGTTTTGTTTTATTTTGTTTTTTAGAGCTGCGGCACACGAAAATGTTTATTTTATATGATTTTGCATTTTATTCGTACAATATTTACATAGAAAACTTTGCCCAGTTGAATTCTTCGGAAGTTGTGCGCATTTTGTTGAAGAGTTTTGAAGCGAGAAAAAGTCGAGTCTTTCAATTTAGCTGGAAAGAAATTTTGTAGAGAATTGTTTTAGCTTCCTTTTTTGTTTGGTGTGCCGCGCCCCCAGGCATATTCATTTAATTGTTTAACGCTTGATAACTGTGAAACGTGAAAATGTTTGTGAGTGTGTGTGTGTGAATGTGTGGTGCCTACCTTAACATAACGTTTAGTTAAACTAGAGACTAACGACTTTACTTTAATGTTTACTTCGGTTCTTTAGCTTACAACATTTTATACAATGCAAATATCATCTCTCATTTTCATTTCAAATTTCCTCTTGATCATTTTATGCTATGCAAACGCAACTCATTTACTTTAAACTTTAACTTAGGAGACGCTTTTTTTCCACACATACATATACACATACATTTTATATATAATTACTTGCATTTATATATAGATCAGCATTTTATGTGTTTTTTTTTATATGTGTGTATATATATGTAAAAGTTTTTCAGTATTTTTTTTAATTTTTTCTCTTGTGATGAATGTTGCTAATTATTACTTTACTTATATATATATATATATATATACCATATATATATAGATCTGCGCGTTATCTGCCAGTTGTCGAAATAGGTTTTGGAACAGTTTTTCTAAATTTTTGTTGAAACTCTGACGGCATGTGCAACACTTAAATATAAGTAACAAAGTTTGCATAGTCGCTTCGTATTTCTACATATGTATATTGTATATATATATATAGACATACATGCACACATACACTTGTATGCATTTATATATAATGTGTGTGCATGCATGAATACGCATATATGCAATTGAAGTTATCAGTGGGTTTTGCCCATATATATATACATATATATATATATATAAGCTGAAAGTTGGACACATACCAGAGACTGCTCTATTTTCGAATTGTTCCGAAATAAAATATATATAGTAGATAGTAGATAGTATTTGTTTATACACATTTATAATGCTTGTGCAGGGGAGCGCGGGCAATAGAAAACGTTAACTAGAGTGTTAAGTGTGTGTGTGTGTGTATGTGTGTATTTTTGGGCAGCTGTTCTAGGCTAGCATAGGCTAGCAACACGTCTAGTATATATTCTATTTAGTTTCTTTATAATATTTCAATGCGTGTTCTTAACAATCATCGAACATTGGGCTCGCGCTCAGCTATTTCTTGTTTCACTTACTAACACTTTTACGCTTTATTCAATTTCTTTTCTTTTCTTTCTTTAACTTAAACCTAATTAATAATATATTTTATCTTCTTGCTCTTGCAATATATATATATATTTATATGTATTTATAATATGTGTATGTGTGTTGTGTGTGTGTTGGTTGTGTGTAAGTAGTTTTTTTTTTAATATTATATTTTATAGAATTTTCTTGCTGCGCTCCTCAAGCATTTAGTTTAGCCACGCCCGGATGCTGATCCTGCCACTCCTGCAGCCACTTGGTTTTGGTGTCTTGTTAAACGAGTATACAATTTAGTTTTCATATTTATTAAGTTTTAGCATAAGCAGCATTTTGTTTATAACTATTTATCGCCAGCTCAACAAATTTCATTCTTATTCATTTCTTTGATTTTAATTTTATATATAGATGAGTGTGTTTGTGTTTGTGTGTGTGTGTGTGTGTTTGTGTTCATTTGTGTGTGTGGATTTGGGTGTGTGCGTGAGCCGGCTGACATTTTATGTGTTGTTGTTCGTGTTCTTCTTGCATTTAACTGTTGTGTTTGTTGTTGCTGTTGTTTATTGTTAGTTTCCAGCGCGCTTTGCGTTGCATCTGTTTAGTTGTCTGCCTTTTCGGGTTTTAGTTTTGAATTTGCTGTCGCAGGATTATTGTCACCACCAACAACGCCGCCACTGGATAGGCTGCCGCTGCTGCTGTTATTCGACTGTTGCTGATGAGAGTTCATTGAACCGCCGCCGGCTATGTTTGGCGGCTGGAGTGACGAAGACGACGATGACAACGACGCCGCCGCCGCAGCTGCCGTTGCGCTATTTGCTGCTGTTGCAGCGCTGCCGCCTGCGGCGCGCCCGCTGGAACGATTTGATTCGAGTTCGTGCAGCTTCTTCCACAGCTCCTCGCGATCGCGTTCACGCTTCTTTTCCCTGCAATCAAATCATTTGTATCAATTAGCCAATCTTATTATTATTAGTCAAAATACCAGCACCCACTTTTGCCTTTCCGCCTTATAGCTGGATGTTAGCTCATCGAAGAGCTTTGAATTCATTTCCATAAACGTTTTCAATACATTGTACACAAGCGCGACAATGGTTTGATTCCAATGCTCCTTGCTGATGCGATAGAGCGCCGGGAACATGATGGGCATTATAACAGCATTGTTCTCCTCAATGAGCGACATGGCATATTCATTGTTCCACAAATATAGAGCACGTTCAGCAACCTGATACGATGTTTAACAATGCATATATTTAGTACAAGCAGTATATCATAAGTTAATCGTTTAGTTCTTCACCTGAAAATGTGGACTCGATACGCATTTGGCTATCTGGCGGAACAGTGGCTCCTGTATTTTGACGAATTGCGGCGGATCAATCACATCCAATATCTCCTCAATTTCGCCAAGAAACATGACCTCCTTTTGGGAGCACGTTTTGGGCCAGAATTTGAGCAGACCACGCACCACCGGTTCGGTGAGGAATGGATCCTTCTCTAGGAATTGTACAATGCAATACGCCAGCTGAGCATGATAGAGCGACAGGCATTTGACTTTGTGCAGCGGCAACAGAACCTTAACCAAAAATTGTTTATGTTCCGCCTTCAATGGCAAGGCAAAGCCGTTAATGATGCTGTAAATTGAAAAGTGAATGCAAGAGTGAAGTTAGCCAAATGTAAGCTGTAATATATTAGGTATGTAGCTTACCTGCCAAGTATCTCGAGCAGCTCGCCAACGCCATTAAAATGCTCCGTCTCATAGATGAACTTCAAGAATATGTTATTGATCTGTTTTCGTATGAAAGCACGTAAGCCTAGGAATTTCCCATAGATGCGATGCAAGACCGTCTTTAGAAAGTCACGCTCGCGCGGATCCTCCGAATCGAACAGTTCCAATAGCTGTGTCAGGTGTATCAATTGTTTAAATAATGGCAATTCCGGCAGACAAAAATATTTGGAAACTCACCTGCAACACAAACTTCTGATCGATCACACGTTTGCCAATGGTCGCCTGAAAATCTTGGGATTCCAGAAAACGCAAGAACACCTCATAGACCAGTTGCAAATGGGGCCACGATGCCTCCAGTGTTGGATCGTCCTCTTCCGGATCAAAATCGGGATTTTCACTGGGCGGCAATGTGCGAAATAAATTGCACGAAATCTAAAAGAAAAAAATATATAGAGATTTTATGCAGAGAACAAAACAGCAACGATCCACTTAAACTTCGAATTGGCGTAAAATTCATTAGCATTTACTTATATTTCCACATAAACATGTGTGCCGCCTGCTGCGCTCAATATGCAGCTTCTTCTTGTTTCGCAAAGTGTATTTTGAATTCTTAAACAACTTTAGCATTTTATTTTCCAATATTCTGAAACTTTAATTGCTAACAGATAGAAATTAAACATAAATTCTATTTCTAAAAAAGTACGTTTCCCCCTCTTTGAAATCTTGATTAAAGCTGATGTATTAAAAAGAGTAAAATACTCTAGATTCTCAATGCTGCGAAATCCAGGCCTAAATATGCTCACTAGCTTTAATAACTTGAGATATATGAGATATGTTTAGAAAATACGGACTAACGTTAATTTATATAGTCTCTGAGTTCGATGAGGTTATAGAGTAAGGCGTGCATGGCTAGATCAACACGGAATATATATATAAATTTATCAAGATGTCTTTATATTAGCAGGACGTTATTATACAACATTTCTGCTATTTTTCTGAACTATTACAAGAATATAATTACTTTTCTCTTATAATTGGAATCTTTTAATTAGTTCAAAGGTTAATATGTGAAATTTTTGATAATTTCTGTCTAATTAGGATCTTTCGTTCTTTCTTTTTTTACTTTCAAAACAATATCTATAAATTTTGCTTGGTTTTAAGATAATAACGAACCAGTTATTTGTCATCTAATTGATTCCAATTTGATATTACACTTTGTTTTTTGAGAACATTCATATTATTCGGGTACTTACCATGCGTATTATTTCGGGATACACCGGTTCCGTAAGCACGCCGCGCCCATGTGTTATATAGGTGGATAGATCATTGAGAGCAGCTCGTTTGATTTCCTTGCCCTTCAAGTCCGTTACAGGATCCATAAAGTCAAATGATACGCAGCACTGACGTAGTTTCCGGATAAACAGCTCCTCCTGTTCCAGGCTCGAGCAATCGGCTGTAGGGAGAGGGATGGGAAGGGGTGGGAAAGTATTATAATATTTATTATTATTTATTCCATTTAGTTTAGCTACCTTTTAGTGGCGGCAATTGCTGCAGCTCAACATCCTGAGAGTTTCTGTAGCGCGAGGAACCTTGACTTTTTTTACTCTTCTTTTTTAGCGAACGTTTGGCGAACGGGTCGATTCGATCCACAAACGTGCCCGATGACATCTTTTCAGATTTGGGTTCGTTTGTATCGATGGCGGTCTCCGTGGCTGACTGTGTGGTATTCAGCTTGCCGGCTTTGATTCCAACGCTTGCCAATGTAGAAATTTGATCGTCCAACGCCCCGCCGGCTGCACCAGATGCGCCCACCACGCACACGCCCACGCCCACACCCACGCCCTCGTCGCCGTCTTCGTCGAAATCGCTGCTGAGGATCGCGACTGGTTTCTTGTTGCGCGTCTTGCGTAGCCAGCCAAATATTTTATGTGTTATGTTGGCGACTTTTGCCGTTGAGTTTGGCGTCTTGCAATTGTTTGTGGCACGTACCGCACGGTTGCTACTTAACGGTATTCTGGGCGCTTCCTTATGCTGTTGCTGCTCCTGTTGTTGTTGTTGTTGTTGTTGCTGTTGCTGCTGTAGTTGTTGGGTTATGTTGATGGCGGTATTGAAACGATAGCGACTTATCTTGGCATCTAACACGCGTTACGCCTGGCTACGGAGAAGGTTCTTTCCAAAGCTGGTTGTTGCTGCTTGCAACTTGTTGCCTATTTATTTTGTGTTGTTGTTTTAAATTCGTTACACTGAAAAAGAAAAAGCAGCATTAATAAGTTGATTTATTGATTGACTGACTGACTCACTGACTGAATATAAATTTAATGATTCACTGACTCATTGGCCCAGTGATGGAAGGACTAACTGACTGATTGTTTGACTGTTTCATAGTCGGATTAATAGATTGACTGATTGATTTTCGGATTGATGGTTAACGCACAGCCCAAACCGTAAGACCAGCAAAGATGTATATCGTACTATAGATTACTTTTATGCCGTAAGTGGGAAATTGTCGCAGGCAACATTTATTGAGACTTGTCCCATAATTTTGAAAAACGCGCGGCTAAGTGCCGCCTAATCGACATTCATTTCATTTTCACCTACATAAGAAGCTACCAATTTTTATGTTTTACCAATTTTGAAAAAGTGATTTTACATTCAATGAAAAACTCGGTCGGTTAAGAATAGCTTTTTATACGTGAAAATTCCGGTACTCACCTGCGTATTTTTTGTGTGTTGTTTCGTTTTGTTTTGCTGCTGTTGTTGTTGTTGTTTAATGGAGGGATTGTTGCATTAACTATATGCGCCTTATTTCGGTTGTTGTTGGTGTTATTGTTGTTGTGATTGTTGTAATACTCGCTTAGCTTCTATGTTGCTTGCTGCTCTGAATGGCACATCGATTCGTTTTCGTGTGAGAGAGAGAGAGACTATTGGAGAATTTGCTGTTTATGAAAACTGTTCACATATTCTCGCCCGCTCTCACGCTCGGCTTGCTCTCTGTGTGGGTAAGTGTGTGTGTTTATGTATGCAGGAGCGTGTGTGTGTGTGTGTGTGTGTGCGCGTTTGTTTTAGCGTGATTTTTCTTTTAGTTTTAGCGTTGTTTCTTTATTTCCTTTTTGGCAATACATGCACTGCAATTGATAGAAGAAGAAGAAGAGCATTAAATCACACAGTCATCGATTAAAATGAAAAACAGAAATAGTTGAGCGAAATGCCAAGAAATGTCATATAACAATTGGTTATTTTATATATTTTTTTTTTGTTGAATTTGTTTTTAAGCTTATCTTATCAACATTCTGGCGCTTCTCTCTGTCATATCTTTAGCCAGATAACAGCCACGACATTGACCAAACTCTGATTTCAGGTGCCATTCACTCGCGTTGCTAATTGTATAAAAACCAAATGCTGGCTTTTTACTCTTCCCCCCCCCCCCCCCCCCCCCCCCTCTTTGCTTGATAAATGGCCGTTTGCCTCTAACACCATTTTGCTTCATAACCGCAAATGGTTTGACAACTCGGAAATACAGTAAAAACTCTAGGAATGGACGACAGACAGTGCAATATTTTAGTCCGAATCATTTCTCTAACATCTTTTTCCTCTTTGAAGCACCACATATCAATTAGTATTCAATTTTTTCAGTTTAGGATAAAACCAATTTTGAATAGACGATATATTTAATTCTACGACATATCCTTAAACTCGAATTGTGAATTTTCTACGCTCGGTAGAGTTTTCGCTGTACATCAACAAATGCCCGACTCGTTGCCGCAGTCAACTCAACTTTTGCGAGTCGTTTATAATTTGCAGTTTGCAAATTGAATTTGTCATTGCGTTGATTTCATTTAACTTAAAATAGAAGAAGCAGAAAAGCTAAAGCTAGCGGAATTTACAAACGCAAAATAGCAATAAAAACGAGCTGGTTTTCCTTTCTCAATTCTTCAGTTAATGAGGGTTCAATAGACTTTATCATGCCATATCGGCATACAGGAGCTATATTAAACATTGATAGACGCTTTGAACTGCAAATGGTCACGTTTGCCTGTCTGCCTGCTGACCGTATACCCAACTAGAATGTAGAATGTTTTGTGTGTGTTGAAAACTGTTTTAATTGAATTAATGGCGAATAAGGCTAAAACTAATTTCTAAATTGAATTAGGGCAACTCTAAGCATAACATATTTGATCTTTGAAAACGAGTAAAAATAAAAGATGAAGCTTTCCCAGCCAACTAATGATAGAATACTTCCATATTATGAAAAACAGCATTGGTATTTTTAGGATTGGCTATGATTAAAACAAGGACCTAACATGTGTAACATATGTGCATATGAAATGTACGCTGATTTCCAGA